AACCGTAACTCATAAATAAGATCTTCTGGAAATTTCTCTATAATCATTACTCGAAGATGGTTATGATTAACATCTTCGCCCAAAGAGCTAAGAACCCTTAGATGCCTTTCGATCTCATTTAATACCTGTCTACACTCTTTTACTGCTTTACTTGCTGATTTAATTCTATATAATGCAACATAATGAGCATCAATAATAACGCTTGGTTTTCCATATCGTTCTTTTAATGTTTTAACCGCTATTTGATAATTTTTATTAGTTGTATCTAATCCTTCAATTGCCTGTTTAGCGTCACCTTCTAGAGCCGATTGTAAATATAATAACTTATCAACATCACTTATATTCCTATTATCAACGTTTGATGAAAATTGATCCCAAAATTGATACCACTTGAGTACATTACCATCGAATTTTGCTAGTTCCATTCGCGGTAACTTACTGACTATATTTTGATTATCATCGGACTGTGGTACTTTTGTTCTATACCTATTGTTTAGACAAACATTTATTTCTGCTATCAAATCTTGAGCCTTAATTTGTGTCGCTGTATATTGACTAATTTCTTCTAAGTTGGATTCATTAACTGATTTACAATAATTATGAATTTCTATAACAAACCTATCAACTGCTCCCTTTAATTTAGATTCAATTAACTGTAATTCATTTTAATTAAAATCACTGTCCATTACTCGTGTATACGCACATTGAGCTGAATCTATATATGTAAGAAGAGATTCATGAATAATTCTAAGTCGGGTTCGGATGACTTCTTCCATTATGAATACAGTATTTAAAATTCAGTATCAATAATCATATTATATTCGAAACTGTAACAAGACACAAAATAATACTAAATAAATAGCTTACAAAATCCTAGCGTAGTTAAATATTAGCCAGTTTTTATATTTATTATAAATTAAATTATATGAATAATTTTATATTTCATTTATCATGTTTTATTTTATTTACAGTTTTATTCGACTTTTTTTTTGTTCAATAGTGTAAACTTTGAGAAACACCGACTTTTTTACTACGAGTACTGTTTAATTTATGTAATCAAAAAAAAATCATGAATATTACAATATTAAATAAAATCGTGAATAAAAATAGGTACTGTTAAATAACAGTATAATACATATTAACTAAATATTTCTTATACTATTTACCTTTTTAATATCGACATTATATAATTTTAAAACATTTAATCTCTGTAGAATCATAACTGCTTTTAAAATTAACTATTTATCATTTCAAATTCTTTAGAATTAAAACTTTCAACGTTCAACTAACAATTATTGATTATGCTTTATATATAGGTACATAATATATATACCTCATTCTAATTTCTTCTTTCATTTTAAATTAAATGTTATTTATAAAAAATTTATGAACATGTAGGTACTCGTAACAGAAAACGATATTCATTCGATATTATGCGGGTAAACTGCTTTACTTATAACCATCACGCTATACTATTTATAATTATCAACCGACGTTTGAATTTTTGAGAATAAAAGTTAAAATATAATATTCTATTGATTTACTATTATCACTTTAGAATATATTTTTTAAATAATAATAAATGTCAGATCCCAGCACCTCCACCATGTCGCCAAATACCCTGTTCATTGGTATTAGACGAATATAACATGAGACGTAGATACAACACATATTATAATAATTATATTATGTATGTAACTGTTAAACATATGATTTACTGATTGCTGGTAATGAACATATACTGATTTAATGTACGAGGGTCTGGTCCCTCGCTAGTGGCCTCCAACCTCCCCTATAGCCACCCCGAGCCTCGCTAAACTGATAACTGTTCTGATTTAATAAACTGATTTAACTGATCTCACATCACTGGTCTGATTTATCTGATTTATCTGATAACATGTTAACACATGTCTATACTGAATCGAATACTCTGAATCTGATTTCTGATCAAGCAATCTGCTCACACGCAATAACATTGAATATTCACAAACTGGTAAAATAAATCCACTTACTTGAGAACACACGGTGCTACGCCTGATCTGCCTCGCTCGCGTCTCGACCGCGTCTGTCAAATCTCAATCTATCCTATCGAACTCTTTTCGTACTACCGTCACGTTAATGACAAATAATAATTTGAATGATTAAACATTTATTTCGCGATTACCCTACGGTATTCGCGACACCTCCAGGCTACTTCAACTTGATAAAAATATTGTAAATTATAATCTTACTTTAAAAAAAGATAATTTAATACTGGTCCCGCTGAGTTTCTTTCGCCAGTTCTTCTCAGGTCTGAGGCTTCTTCTTTCCGAACTGGTAGTACACTCATGAGGTTCAGTAAAAAATGGTAATAATGTAATGCTGAATAAAATATTTTGATTTGATTTGATATTTATAAAGTACCTAATGTACACTAATGTAATGTAATGTAATAATAGGTATTTATCTTTCTGACTTAACTTTGTATGTACTTACTAGAAAAGTAAAATCATTTGGTTGTTGAGTAACTCGTAATTCGTAAATGTTTACAATGAGGTAAAACACTCGGACTAAGGAATAATATTCTTAAATTCGAGGTAAAACTGTAGTTAAATAAATAATTAGGTATTAATATTTATTAGATATAATAGGTACCTAATAATATCAGAATTTAGATTAGTCTGTTTTTTATCTTAATGGAAATTGTGAAATATTTTTTATAAACAATGACTGTAACGTATGATGTGCACAATGTATACCCCAAAACAATAATTCTTAAAAAATTGTCTGTTTGTCTGTATGTCTGTTTGTGTGTGCGCCTTTCACACAGAAAATAAAGAACTGATTTCAACGAAATTTGGTGAAGTGCTAACTTATTACTCGGGTCAACATTTAGGATTCCTTTTACTTCAGGAAAACCTTTCTAAACCTTAAGATATACATAAAAATTCAAAACAATGTACTAAAAAAGGCTGTAGAAAAGTTTGCAATAGTAGGTATATGTCTATCTCTTAAGGTACACTCGCAATACCTATCCTTATTTAGTTATTACCTATAATAAAACGAACTTAGTCAGGTCGATATGCGCGTTTCACGCAAAAAGTACTGAACCGATTTTAACTAAATTTTGTGTAGTGAAAACTTATTACTCGGGTCAACATTTAGGATACCGTTTACTACAGGCAAATTTTTAATTCCCACGGGAAAACACAATAACTGGTTCTATCTAGTCGTCCTTAGATATGGCTAACGCTGGCTTAACCTTAATGGATATACCAAAATAATGTACCTACTAGAAAATTGTAGGTCTTAGAAAGGTCTACAGAAAAGTCCCCAATAGTAGGTAAATATATGTCTATGTCCTGAGGTACACTCGCTATAACTATTTATATTATATATTATTATTAAAGAATGTCGCGACTCACTGACTGACTTGTCAACGTTCAGTCCAAGCTGATGATGATAGCTTAGCACCTCTAAAAAAGCCAGTTTTATATATCCATACTAATATTAAATACGAAAGTAACTCCGTCTGTCTCTCTGTCCGTCACTTTGGGACCCTGGGAATGACATAGGAATCATTTCTCAAATAAGGGATATATTTTTTTTATACTTACCTACTTTTCTACATCTATGTATATGTCTATATTGTACATACCTAGGTATATGTAGACTAGCGACGATTAGAGTAGCGACTCACGCTCGCTTCGCTCTGGTTCCTCCCTTAGTTCTTTTTCACACTTAGTATGGAATAGATTTTTTTTTCTTTTTTTTGTCGTGAATTTTTCTCATATTTTAATAGTTATTCTGCTATTCGGGGATGATGATGTTCTCCTAGCCGATTCCGGCCACGGCGGCCAATCTCATTGAGATTAGCCAACTGCGCAGGAGATATTATAGTGCACAAGTGTACGCGCAGACACAAGTGCACTCTCTATTCCTGTCACTCTCATACTCCGGTGGGACGACTGCTCGACACGACCGGTGAGAGTTAAGGCGCAGGACCGACGGCTTTACGTGCTCTCCGAGGCACGGGGGTGAAACACCGCCAACTTCCCAATTCCGGGCTGTTACTGAGACTTACTATACAGAAAGACTCAATAACTAAACTTGGCCCGACCCGGGACTCGAACCCAGGACCTCCGAGTGTGCAGCCGTACATGCTAGCCACTACACCACCGAGGCAGTTCGTATATTCGAGTATTCGGGGATATCACGTGTATTTATTTTTTTGTTGGACTTTATCGTTGCTCGTTCTTTCGGAGGGCTGGAGAAGTTCTCACAGAAAGATGGAATAATATGGATATCTCCGCAGTTGTATAGCGACCATGTACTAGAAAGTTAGTATTAGCCTAAGGTACCGCAACCTTAATGTTTTTCTGGACATTTTTATCATGGTGCAAAATTTTCTAAAATTAAAGTAATGTTCTGAATTTTTTTTAAATGCTTTGTACCAAAACAATACACGTGATTTTCGATAGGGAGGAGGTTAGTCTAAAACCTCACCACGTATCACTAGGGGGGAGGTGGGAGTTTAAAAGTTGCTAAAAAACATCACGTAATTAATGGACGACCCCTTAATGCGTTAGCCCACAGTTTGCTCAGTTTTTGTCTTTTGAGAACAACTGATATCCATTTTGCTTTCGTCCTGGCTCTGCACATTTGTCATTTTAATAAAATTTAGTATAAAACAAAAATACTCGTAAATCCATCCACGCTTTATATCTTTACAATATGAGGAAGACTATACTGATCGAGACATCTGGCGGGAGAAAATGGCAAACTTCTTCCCTAACGGCCTAATGTCACAAAAAATAGTACCTATCAGAACAGTACATTATGAATTATCTGTGATGAGAATCGTTAATGTCAATAATCAAAATTCATAATTTAGCACAATTTGACGTTTGTTAATTGTTATTATTTTATTTTCTAGTTTCTACTTGTTCATTTATGAGTTTCAATGTTTTCAGACTAAGTAATAATTGATAAAATAATAATAATTATATTTATTAGTAGATATGGCTAACTTTAGACCGGCAGGTCTATCCGATGATGACACAAATAGTGACGACGATTATGGTTTTTTTGAAAAACTGGTAAATTTATCTCTTTACAAATCTTAGTACTATCACCGGCGTATTTATTTCATTATATTTTACTTAAAAATTTATAGAAAAACATTATTTTTGTGACGAAAGATATTTAAAATATTATAGTTATAAATTAATCGTTACAGAACCATAATAATAACTATGCAAGGGAATTGGAAAATCTTAAGCAGAAAACTGAAGTAAGGTTACAAGATGCTATCATAAATGGTAACCTTGAAGAAGTCTTGAATATAATCAACACAGGTAAGTGTGGCTTTCTTATAGCTTTATTTTTATTGGTATGACATTAATACAGTATGTTATGTTTTCATTTATTTAATCAGGTATATCTTACTGAAATAAAAATTACACTTTGAAAACAACATTAAAATCAATATTTCTCATAATTGCAGATTTAAGAGGCAATATAAATAGTAAGTTGGAAAGTGGATGGACACCACTATTTCATGCATGTTTCCATGCACAAGAAGAAATAGTTGAATGCCTGCTAAATAGAGGTTCTGACCCCAATGTGCATGCAGGTAATTATTATAGTGTACAACTGTATAGTTGTATGTTGTAACTGTTGCAAAAATGTTGTGTCATGGTCCTAATTGAAAAATAATGAAAAAAAATTAAGTATTATTTTGTATTTAACAGCAACTATTTTTTCTAAACAGATTCAGTGACTCCGGTAATGTTAGCTTGTTCTAATAATAGTGCAAGCGAGTCAGCGGCATATAACATAGTAACAAACTTAATACAACACAATTGCTTACTGAATATTGGTGATAAATATGGAATTACTCCTTTAATGAAAGCTGTTAGTTGTGGATATGCATCTATAGTAGAATTGATTCTTGATAAAGATGTAAATATTGAGATGAGAGACCGTCAAGGTTGGACAGTGAGTAATCAAACTATCCTTCTAATATTATAAATGTGAAAGTTTGTGAGGATGGATGGATGGTTGTCGGTTTGTTACTCTTTCACACCAGAATAGCTGAAATGATTTAATCTAGGATCTAGGAGATAATGTATCTCTGTGCCAAATTTCATCCAGATCTGGATGGATTGGAGGTCTGGAATAGCACATACTTTTTATTCCAGAAAAATGTATGATTTCCATGGGATAGATTTGGTTTTGTCTAGGGACAAACCCGAAGCAAAGTGAGGATGAGTCGCTAGCAGCGCTGCCAATTGGCGGGTAAATTACCCGAAAAGCAAGTAATTTTAAGCCATTTTTGATGGCGGTTTTTTCTCAGAAAAGAGACATTTTCCCGCGGTAAAAAGTATCCTATATGTTGACCCGGATAACCAGCTATCGCCATACCAAGTTTTATCAAAATCTCCAGTGGTTTTTCTGTGATGTGGTAACAGACAGAGACAAAAATTCTAAAAACTATAGTTTCGATAAAATATCCTCTGTATCGATAAAAATGTTTTTGTCAATAAGATTTTCCAAAAAATGTTTAATGTACAGATTCGGCTTAGTAACAATTTTATTATATTTATAGACAAACAAACTAACTAATGAAATGTAATACTAGAGCTGATTTATATTACATTTTATACACAAATTTACAGGCAGTATTCTGGGCAATACACCACAATCAGCCAAAATGTCTTGAAATTCTTATAAGCAAAAATGCAAGATTAAACATAATAGATATGTCAAACCGATCACCACAGTATATTGCTGATACCCACAACTACAGTGGGATTCAACAAGTTCTCTCAAAATATATTCAAGAAGATGAAATAGAAAATGACAAAATGTTAACCAATGATATTTTGAAAGACATCTCGACATGGCAGGATTATTATCCAGGCTTAAGAGATGAAAACAGGTTTGTTTCATAAATACATATATTCAATTTTGTCATAAAATCTACAATTTAATTACTATGTACAGACTAATAAATCACAATTTAATTATTAATATCGTAAATGTTTAGAAATGCATGTGTTGCAAAAAACACTAATTTTTATACAAGAAGAAATACTTTACCAGTAAAAGTGTCACCATGTGCTAGAAATAAACTTTAAATTTGCTACTCTTTTTATTGTTATCGGCAATATTTATTTATAAAAAATGTCATAATCATTTTTTTATCATTTCTTCTTATTAAACCTGCTTTGAAGAAATTGCTGTGAGGCTGCCCTTGCAAATCTGCTGCTTATTTATAAAATTTTAAAGCTTAAATGTATTGTATATATCTTATGTTTTACCAATAAAATAATATTAATAAAATACTGTTTACCTTTCAGCCCAAAATATTCATCAGAAATAAACCATTTACTATATGGTATGAATTGTGACCGTCTCAAGAGGAAATTTGATGAAATTCCCATGGATTTGCGGACGTTTTTGCTCCTTGAAGAAAATGATATGATTAAAATGGGTATAGACTTGCCATTTGAGCGGCAGAGACTAAAGCAAGGCTTGCGAACTTTTCATTTACGTAAGTGGAAAGTTAATGCGGTTGCTGGATTACAAGCTCATAGAGGGAATTCTTACAGGTTAGTTTACTTGCTAAATTTAATTAAATTCTTCAATTTTAAATAAAACTATCTTTTTGGATTACATTCCTTTAATACAAGCCATCTACCACGTTGGCCAAGTGCGGATTGGCGGACTTCACATGTCTTTCTAATAATTTCTGCGTTCTCTCAGACATGCAGGTTTCCTCACGACGTTTTCCTTCACCGGAAGATAAATGGTAATCATGTTGAAAGTTCACACATGAAAATATCCGAGGTGTGAGATCCAGGACTTAAACCCGCTTCACTTGGTTTCAAAAGCGAGCGCGTGCAGTGGCCTGCCACTGCCTCTCAGCTACCACTACCGTTTATATAACATAGCAATGTATTTTTGCAGTATTATCGAATGTGTAAATGTACTGGGATGTCACTTACAACAACTATACGTGTTGGAAGCAACTGTCATGTACATTCTCCGAGATTATGGCCGATTACAGAACCAAATCAAATTCGAACCACCGGACTCACCTGTTATCAATAGATTTCATAATGCCGCCAAGAAAATGATTACCAATATAAATAACGTGAGAAGAGAAATAAAAATTATGAAAAAATTACATAGCAACGTAAGTTTGAACAAAGTTTTTACAAATACGCTTTGCCTTCAGTTTACTTATGCTATCTTATTAGGTATACCTATATAGTATAATTGTTCTAAATTATATAGTGGTGAAGATAAAAATGTCTGGTTTGTATTGATACAGATGTCAAGATTATTTTAATACATTTTAAATTAAAAAATTATTCTTCTATATTTCTAAGGGACCGGTAGTCAGACGTCAAGCCAATGAACTGGTTCCATTGGTGAAGTAAAAAAAGCAGATCTCGACTTCAGCGCCATCTACCAACTATAGCCGGTTCTAGGCTTCCAGGTGGTCTCATAAGTACACAAATATTTCATCAAAATCGGTCAAGCTGTTTAGGAAGACAAGAATATCAGAATTTAAATATAATTTTACAAAAACAAAAAAAATCCGACTGCGTAAAAAGCGAACTAAAAACATGAAAACAAGTTGACGAAGGAACATAGTTCTATGCAATCGGTATTTTTTTATTTTTTTTTTATTTACAGCTTTTTAGTTTTGGTCAGTTAGACATTTTTAGTTTTATTTAAAACTTTATTAAGAATAATTAAAATTTAGAAAAATTACTTCTAAACATGTAAGTATTTCTAACATTCTATAAGATTTTGATATCGGTCTCTTAAAAACCTGTATTTTGATACCCCACTCGATTGATTCGGATGAAAAAATTTTTTCAAGACATAAATTAGAGCCTAGAATCCACAATTTTGATTTATATGATATTTACAAAATACTCTATGACACTCGCGTTATTCAGACGAATCCAACAACGTATGAATCATCAAAATCGGTTAAGCCGTTTAGGAATTACAAGAGAACACAGGGTCGGACATACATACATACAGGTCTAATATATAATCCTCCTTTAGGCTTCTCCGTAGTCGAGTAATAAATATAAAGCTAATGCTTAATAATTTTCGTTGCAGATAAGTAAAGATAGCTTAAAACCAGTAGACCTCATTATGGAGAAATCCACCAAAGAATTAGCTGTAGAAGTAATAACCAAACTAGTCGCAGTCAGCACTCTGGGCTTACTCCTGTATCGTTCTAAAGGATTTTTTATAAATATGTTCAACAAATAAATGGTAAATTTTAAATCATTATTGTACTTATTACATCTGTTTCTGTGAATCTACTATTACTTTACATGTTCAGGGATCGCGGGTTTGATTACTTTATGGAATATTTTTTAAGTAATATAAGATCTACACACTAATCAAGGTAGAGAATACCGCAGAAAAAGAAAATCCCCGATAAAGTACGGCGAATAATTTTAGGAATAAGATAGTCTCTCTCTTTGTCTACACCACGAGAGGAATAGTAGCAGCTTTAAAAACCCGCTTTTGTAATATATGACACTAATAAAATAACCTTTTAACAATCATAAATCTTTATCACTATCCATATCCAGGCGTGGGGCCAGGATCAGATCAGCTTTAAGGTATCGATAACCAAATTATTGTGTTGTCGCGGTCATCCGGTTTCACATACTTACAAACTTTTCTATCGGCGCGACTTTGCAGCTAGGGAGCTGGTTAAAATTGACCACTAAAATTTTATTAAAAAGTAAATCTTTATTTAAAAACAAGCGACTTACCCTCACTTCGCTCGGGTGCTTTTTATCCATACTAATATAAATGTAAAGGTGTGTTTGTTTGTCTTTTTTTCACGTCGAAACGGAGAGACGGATTGGTGTGATTTTTTGTGTGGAGATAGTTAGACGGCTGGAAAGTGACATAGGCTGGCTACTTTTACTGCGGGAGATGATCTCATTTATATCTAATATTCTCGATTAAACGTGTTTAGTTAACGTTTCTATTTTCTGTATCATGGTCTTGCATTAAAATAATAAATAACGATGAATAATTACAAATAAATCGTGGAATATACGTATGTTGCCTAATGTGATTTAAAGTCCAGTTATTTGAATCGTGGCCAAATTTTGTGATCCAATGGTCGACAGGTGAGCTATAATTTAAAACCAATTGGTCAAAGATAGTTCAAGGCAAGTTTGAACTTAACCCATAAAAGCTATATCAATAAACTCAGTAACAATTTCCATGAGATTTTTTAAATTGATTTATATGTATGGACCTAAGGGGCTCAAGCCGACCCCCTGCCCCGACCCCCAAATTTATCTGAGGCCACCCATAAAGAATCTCCAATTAAACTCGACAATTTTGATAATAATATCAAAATAGCATATTACTAAGAAAGTTTGCACTTTCTATATATTAGTGTATAATTTACCTTCAAAATACTATGCTACATAATAGGATGGAGTCAAAATATGTTTTTTAATGTTAAAATACCCTAATGAATAACTATCAAAATCACGTATGAATTAACCATAAAAATTACTTGTTATGCCCTAAATCAGGGCAGATGAAAAAACCCAGTTGTGTATCAAAACATATGACTCATCGGTTAGCGCTATGATTAATCGAAGAACTACAAAAAAACGGCCCCCAAAAAAACGGATTTATCTGCGACAAAATCCGAAAAGATAGTTTCATTTAAAATGTCAAATATTCGCGTAAATCTAAGAAAGTATTACTTCATATTCCTTAGAAAACGATTAAACTCCAAGCGAGATACCGAGAACTGAATGAGTTCTCCTTAATAATATGTACAAAAATAAACTACTTATACGTCATATTATTATATATATTTTCCTTTTATAAATGAAATTATCTATATAAATAAAAATGAATCACCGAAATGTATGTACGCGCATAATTTCCGATAGAGTGCACCAAATTGGATATATTTTTTTTTGTGTTTTTTATTGTCAGGACAAGTTTTGTATAGAAGAAAATTAAAAGATTTTTTTACTAGAATAAGATTTTTTTTAAATCTCATGATCCGATTTAGATGAAATTTGGTAAGAAGATACTTTGAGACCCTGGGAAGGACATAGGATTCTTTTTATCCCGGAAATCATCTCTTAAAGGGGTGAAAATGGGGATGATAGTTTATATTGGGAAGCAAGCTAAGGACGAACACGAGCGAAGCGTGGGTGAGTCGTTAGTTTCAAATATATTTGTATATATATCCCATTTATAGTGTTTAAAATGTTAAGTTCAGAAAAATATTAAGTTGAGAATTTCTTATAATGTTCTTATTGTACCTACGTCAATAGATATTGGAGTCATATAATTTGGCACAAAATAAGCGGCCATTACGGACTGACTGCATTGCAAAGAGCGTAAGCATTAATTTCTATTCTAGTCTGTGGCTCATAAAACGTATTTTATTTGGGGCATACCGGCGGGATGCATCACGGTGATGTAAGCGACTCCAACCTACATTGCAACATTGAAAATTACGGCCGGCTTTTGCTAACAAACATGTGTATCGACCTTGTCATATATTTGTCGGAGTTGAAATCCATTTGGCAGCCGAACTAACACACCCAACGGTAATTAATCGCAAATCTTCGTTACGCGTTAACATTATTTGCAATTAGCGGATTTTGGTAGACTGTAATGCGCTCATTAATCTTATTATTGTCAATGGTTTTAAAATATGACTGAAATTTTATGTATTTTATAAACTCATATTTCTCTCTTTTGCTTGCTTTTAAAATTCTTGGCAAGAATTATAGCCAGTCAGTTTCAGTTTCTCACTTACTTAACCAATTTTTATTTTACTGCTACACACATTATGCCTATTACCTATGCTATATATACACAGTACATAAATATATTATCACCATTTAAAAATTGAAAGTTCAAGTACCTAATTACATAGGTAGGTACTAACGTCAGCATAAATTTAAAAATTTGTACAGAAATGTGATATTTTTTAAATTTTTTAAGCTAAAAATCTCATTCCCTCCCGGGATTTTATTCATAATGCGTGCCACTATTGTGGCACACCTATAGTAATAATGTGAGTAATTTAAAAAATATATCGATCCGGTCTATTTTTAAAAGAAATTTTAATTCATTATTTCATTTCATTTTTAACCTACTTTCAATAAGAAGGAAGTTCTATTTTAAATTAATTCATCGTTTCGGTTTTTCTTGAGGTTTTCTGTAATATTTTTGTCTCGAATGCTTTACGGAAGAGACTAACATTTTAGACGTCTCACGACGCGACGTGGACGATGTTTTTAGTTTTTACAAATAATTTAAAATTATTCGTAAAAATGTATCTACCTCTCTCTCTATTGACACACCATCTAGCAATATGCTAAAAAGTTATGAATAATTGCCAAAGACCTAATCGATTCGAAACTCGATATCCTGTTACTTAAAAGTTTAATAACATTGCAATGATATGGTAACCTAGGCCTGATGCTGCAGCGTCACCTGGAATCTGCAAGATACTCGACCCTTTACCAAATACACAGTACCGTTTAATTAAATGAATAAACTTTTTTTTTTAATGTCGACCACGACGGTCAATTTCACTGACAATGAGATAAGTAGTGCAAACACAAGTGCATTCTCCATTCCTTTAATCTCAAGGTCCAGTGGGACATCAACTAGACACAATGGGTCAGACATTATGCGCAGGACCAACGGATTTACGTGCTTTCGGAGGGACGGGAGTGTAACACCGTCAACTTGCCCTTAAAACACCCAATAACTATACTAGGCTCGAACTGGGACTCGAACCTGGAACTTTCGAGGCAGCCATGCAAGCTAGGCACTAAACCAACAAGAAAATGATTTAAAAAAATATGCCATGGACAAAAATATTAAGTCAATTACTATAGGTACCTATGTACGTTTATTATGTGGTATAATATTTATGTATACCACGCATATATGTTTATTGACGTGTTAATTACCTAAATAATGGTCATACGCCTGCGCTCTTGGTCTGGTGCGACAGCGATATATCTCTCTCTCTCTCTGATATCTCTACTGTAGGTAGTCTAGACAATTTGTATTTATTATTGTACATTTTGGAGTATTATATGAAGAGTTTTATTTGATCTAAAAAAGTTTGATTTTGTTTGTTTATGGTTTAAGGCAAATATTGATGGGGGAATTACTACCTACCAGATTCATAAATATATTACAAATTTCTACGAATATAAAAAAAAAATTGTTTTTATGTTATTAACATATATTTGTTCTTACTTAGAACTCTAAACCTTTAATTAAAGATTGTAAACATTAAAATTATTTTTTATGTATTTACCAATAATAGAGTCGTAGCTGGTTTTTTTCATGTTCTTATTCCCAATTCCGTAAACTGTGTTTTATTTCGATATGATACTTGTAGCTTTTGTTTGAAATCTATTTATATTAGAGTGCAATTAGTCATTATAAATGAAAAATGACAGAACCCAGTTATATTGAATGGATTGAATGTTTTTTTTCTTTGAGTTTTAATACCAAAAAAAAATAGTTTATATTTTTTTTAATAATTATATTAAGAATTTTTAAATATTTATATTAAGAAAATAATAACTGTTTTCGTTTTTGAAGTTGTTTAAACAAGATTTTTTATATAAAACTTTTTATAATTAACAATGGTTCTATCAAGTCGTCCTTAGAAATTTATTTAGCTAATACTGGCTAAACCTTAAGAGATATACCAAAACAATGTACTAGAAAATTTTAGGTTTACTACTTAAAAAGACATTCAAAATAGTCCACATTGGCAAATGTCTATCTCCTAAGGTACACTTGCAACACCTATTCTTATCTATAACGTACCTAGGGAGTAGGGACGCACCCGAGCGAAGCGTGGGTAAGTTACTATTAGTAATAGTATTTCATACAGAAACCGAGTTATTCTTGGAAGAAAAAATAGATAAGAATAATGAGTAAAAGGATAGTACATACCTTTTACTCACTATAAATAGCATAGTTTTCAAGGGATACCCCTTAAAAAATAAACTTTAGCGGAGTATTTCAAATGGTAAACTTTTTAGTTTTTGGTTCTACTGACCTACTCTAATGGTTAGAAAAGATTTACAACTTTTTTCCCCACTTCACCAACAACCCATAAGCTTACCTACGTATGGGATCCCTAGCTTAAAAGTCCCCTAAACTAGCCCCTAAATTAAATTTCGTTTCGAGCACCTAAATTTAGGGGCCTTTTAATATTTAGGTGACCCCTAACTGTCGATGAAACAGAAACTGTCCCCTAACAGCCCCCTAACCATGCTTTGAGGATCCCTTAAACTTAGGTGACGTTGGTGAAATCGGGCATTTGTCTCTTAAACAAAACATGACAATGAGAGGTACAGTGAAATAATTCGTGCAGAATTTCCATTGGGTTTTGATTATAAAACCCTGTAGCGCACTCAATTTCACTCGAGTAAAATAAACATTTTCTAAAATCAGTAAGCCGTAACTTATCGAACGATAAAGCTAAATAATTGCCTCAGTACCCGCTTTCATTGTTTAACAATACAATGTACAATAGGCGTTGGTAAGTAAATACATTGTTTTATTATTAGAAGCCATAGTAATCTGGGCCAATGTAATTAGAGTGCATAATATGTGTTTAAAAAAATTAGTATATTTTATCAAGGTATAATATGTAAGGTACACCACACCACAATCTTTATATATATAATTTTTCTGTGAGTGTGTATGTCACTGAACTTCTCTCAAACGACTGGACCGATTTTGATGAAATTTTTTGTGTGTGTTCAAAGGGATCTGGGAATGGTTTAGATTCACAATTTGAATAATAATTTTCATCAAAAAAATTATTAAAAAAAGTTTGAAATTTTCAAATTAAAGACGTGTAGACAGGACAACGTCTGTCGGGTCCGCTAGTACCTACATAAAAAGAGGTAAAAATTCTATTTACACACTATTAACATATTCAATAAAAACTACAAACATTAATTCTGCATTTTATTGACATCTACAACTTTCAATAACAACTGTTTGTACTAAAATATAAATGTGTGTCAGTTAAAAGCTGTTAACATCGTGTTCTGATTACCGCTATTGTTATTTTGCCTATACAATTAGTTAGGATACATGAACATTAATAGGCGTTAAAAAACTTAATTGTTGTAATGTGAGCCTATAAGGTATATCTTTCTAAAAGTACTAATTGCACTATAACCACTGAACACTTCATATAAGCTCCATTTCAAGCGGTCGTAGGCCGATAAGTTCCCAGAAATTCAGATATATCATTATGTGAGTAAACATTTAAGCGGTGCTAAATAGCTTGCCGCTTGAATATCAAAAAGTACATTTGTGTATTCGTGTGTAATATACACTTCAAACGATCACAGTGAAAGCATCGACTTTAAAGCACATTTAATGCGTACAGTGCGTATTGCAACTGTATTCCGCTTCTTAGAGCAGAAAACAAATTAGAATAATTTAAAATTATCCAAAAAGTATAACATCGTGCGTGTAGAAAACGCTGAGATTCAATATAATTAAAAGTTTCGAAATAAATATCTGAATATCTCCAATACTCCTTAAAGTAAATTATAATAAATTATTATTAACAGTAGTATGGAATAGCTGCTGTCGAGAAAGTATTTGACAACCGCTTCAATGTTTCTGAATGGGGATGTTCCTGTCGGTGATAGCGAGCTGCGGCAAGGGAGCCTCCACGGTCAGGACGCCGTCCCGCGACAGCGACGACTTGATCGCCTCTGGGTTTGTGCCTTTGGGCAGGAGGAACTCTCTGTTGTATTCTCTGTACACTGACTTCGTCTCTGACTTCTCCTCGTGTTTGGCGTGGACCTGGAAAGTTAATTGATTCATGTCAGTGCCAATCATTATCACGTTCCACTTTCATTACTTTTGACTATGGTTGAATAGATAAATAAATTAAATCAATTAAAATTTCATATAGACAAAATCTATCCAACGGTAGGAAAGAGCTTTTAAAATTCACAAAAACTAGTATAGTACCCACTCTTCTAGGTCGATAAGTTATTTAAAAATGGTTGTCATAGAGAAAAAATATTAAAGAGTAATAAAAATCTTACCAATAATTTGTTATCGACGGTCTTTACGACGATTTCCTCAGGTGTGTATTGACTGACATCAAATCTGAGCTTAAGAGACTTGCCATCGCCCTCATCCTGGATTAGGGGAGAGTTTAAGCTGTCCCAGTGGCTGGGCTCAGCCAACTGTCTGCTGTCACTGTGCTGTGACGATGTTGTAGTGCTGTGGATAAACATCGTACATTATAAGTATTTACATTTTACTCTTAATTATTGCTTCTTTGACACTAAACATGTTTAGCAGTTTGTTAATTTTACTTGCTAAGATCACTTACGGACAACCAGTTACGCAAATAAATGGTTTTGATTAAAAACTTGAAATAATGAATGTTCAGTATGTTATTGTAATGATATCACATACGTTCAGTTTAATATAATTTTGAGGTTAATGAATATTGTAACAACTGCTTTTTGGAATTTGAAAACGGCTTTCATAAACGAAATTCATGTACCTCAGCAATAAGGGTTAGTAAGCAATTTGCTTGTAGGTTATAAAATTGCGTAGGCGATTGTTATATCACGAAGTATTTAATGTTTGGTTTTAAAGTAATAAAACCCAAACAAATAAAATATTTTGATAACATTTAAAGTACCTAGTGTATATATTTCATAGATTATAATAGCTTAAATACAGAGCTAGCTGATATCAAGTATGTAGGTATATTGTTTCAGTGCATTGTTATCTACATTAATATTATAATACTTCTTATTAGTGACATTAAAAAGGTCAAAGACCTCGTTGTTGCCACGTCATTTTAGATTTTTTACTAGAAACAAATGTCGTGACAGAATGTGCATATTTAGCATTCGTGTAGGTAGAAATGGAATGGAATATTTAATATGATATTATTAAGCTTGAAAAAGCTTAATGGTTTTCTTTCATAGTAATCGCAAAAACAAAAATTTCCCTTAACCAGTCGTCGACACGTAATTTTTTTTTAAATATATAGCATTACCTATTTCTAATAGTCCATGAAAATTTTAGAAGTACGAGAATTTGACTTCTCTAGCCACTAGGCATAAAATGCCTTTATTTTCACAAAACATATTTTTATGGTGGTGTGTTTATATAATATTACCGTGTTATAGTTATTAAACTACTGCTGACTTTAACTAATTAATCACCACGTCCGGCGTGGCTGCTGTTAACTAAACAAAATTATCTTTTCGCTCGAACATATTTGGAAGATTGGTAATCTCTATAAATATATTCTTAGTGAGTGCATACTTTTTTAGGTCGTCTGCTTAACGTATGCAAGGAAATATATTTTTCCGCGACTGTAATAATTGATTATGATCACTGTTCGCTAGGCTGATGTCATGCATGCAGATACAAGGTTATTGTCAACAAATGATCTCACCAATGTTATCCAATATATCACGAAAATGTTGCCCATTGTACAGCAAACAACGTTGCTTACGTAAACAGATTACTTACATAAATGAATGCCTATTCTTTATGTATATGTATGCGCGTTATATCTAACTCACTAGCTAACCATACTTATTATTTGAGAAAATTATAATAATATATTATATTCTAATTGAAATCGTACAATATATTATGGTGTTAGTTGCGTGTCATATTTTATAGTTATAAATCAGATTGCCATATACACATGTATATTAATTATGCGCGTGTGTGCATACGATACATAGTGTACGTTGTGCTACATGTGCTTTATGTAATAATAGAGCCAGAATATAGTATAAATATATAATATATGTATATACTATATACCGTATAATACATTACATGTAGATACATAAGAAATATTTTACCTCTGCGACGACTTGGTTACTCCTCCGGAGGAAACAGATTCGAAATTGTAAGACATGCAAAAGGCAATATATGCTGTTAGTTTTTAACTATTAACATTTTTACTTTGAATGAGTCTAACAATTTCAAAATTATTGAATATTTGAATAAGCTTATAAGCATCACAAGCAAAATTATAAAAAAGCACTTTTCCTATATGAAGCGTTAACATAGCAAAAGAAAGGGAGAACATGAGTTTCTTGCGATATTAAACTCATTCATTTGATTTTAAATATATGTATATAATAATAAACCATTATTGAAAATACTCTTGTTTAAATAAAAACTCAAACGGCTAAATTTATTCTTTGGTATCGATTCATTACCAATCGAACTACCCACATTGCTTGCTACAAGTAGGCAAGCTAGTCGGTATGGGCGGACCAGTTACTAATTGCCCGAGTTGACTAAGAACTAAAAATATATAACTGACTCGATTGTATTTGTTATTCCAAGATTTGGAATGAAACAGTAAACAATGAATTTGTAACTTCTAAGAAAATCAATACACAGAGCGTCCTTTCTGTGTCCTTACTGTTATTCTCCAACCAATTCGACCTGCCAAGTCCACATTTCTTAATTACGATTTTGTATTGCGTCACCAAACTTGTGTGAAATGGTTTCGTGCGGTAAACATTATTTCAGTCGGTCTAAATAATATATTTATCGGGACTCGACGCTACATAACTCTCGCATTTTATAACTCACATTTAACTACATCGACAAAATAATCATAAACCGGTTTTTGCGAAAGCATGCTAACAGCACTATGCGCTTTTTATATGCATATTGTAGAGACAATATTATACCAACTTTTAGGTGTAATACTTATTGCTTAATCTGTATAATTTATGTTGTTATATATTAAAATGTAACCTTTTGATGCAGATTCTTTGACAATTTGGTTAAATTTCTTAAAAAAAAGTTTATTTTTCTACTTTATGTGTAAACTATTCAGTGCTGCTGGCCGGCGCTATTTCTATTTATGACATCATCCCGCGTCGGGCTTACGTATCGCTGCACGCTTTAAATGGAGCCGACTAAGATGTCTGCAGTTGATGCCGTTCCGCGGAATGATCCCGAATAATGCCTTTTGAATATAACTACTTTCGTGGAACCGTCGTCGAGGTCGCCCGAGGTGCACAACTCTTTCGAAATCCCCGATCACATTAATTCAAGATTCCCTTTTAGGAAAACAGGGCCGGCAACGTTAATGTTACATTCAGAATAATAATGTAAATTTTACCGATATGTTCTTACTAAAAATTCCGTATTCTTATAAGGTTGCGTAATGAATCACCCACCGCGGATATGAATCGACAAATATTTAACACATGGTTAAATAAACTGAGACTTTATTATTATTCACTAAAAAATATTCGGCATTCGTAACGCTTTTCAACTTATAAAATTTAATAAATACCTTGTCGAGCTCTTAAAAAAATTGTTGCTTTCTCTGTTCATGAGTTCCGATCGAAATTTGCTCATTTCTTCTTCCATTTTTCTCATTTCGGCGTCAAACCTCTCCCTGATACTCGAGAACTCGGTGTCGATAACTGAAAAATCTCCGAGCTTGATGGGAATATTTCTCTTAAGACCACTGTCAGCCATTTTCACGTGTTGTATGGAAACTGTCGAAACTAAACAAACACTGACGGAGAAACGTTTAAATGTAAACACAGTTCACGGTGTCGCTTCGCACTCGTTAGTAGACAAGGCAGGACTGATCATTAGTCGTCGACTCGGCGCCAGGGGGCCTGCGCACAGTTTTAAATAGCCTCACGTTCGAACGCCGCTGCGGGCTCACTCGGCGTCATTCGTCCCACACTGTACTTCTCGCTCATTCCACATCGACTCACCCGACGGCCGCGAGTATGAGATGCCTACCACATGATGGAGGTGGCTACCACGATGTTATTTAATTGATGAATCATTCATCTGGATCTGTCTTTTCTGTTTATGGCAATGATTGTACCATACATATTCATTATTCACAACGATATTTTTAAACAATTGCACATCGACAATAATTGTGTTTTTTTTATTAATATGGGCCTTACCTGGTTCTTATTGTTAAACCTAGGTACTTCTTATTGTGAGATACCTAGGCTAACTAAAGCTAGTATTTTAATCACATCCCAAAAAATATTTCGCATTTTTGAAGATTTTAAAATTTCAATGAATTTGTATATGAATAGGTAAATGAAATAAAAAAAACTGATAAAATTGACTTTAACAGTAGTGGCAAGGTTATACATACAAAAACAAGACATCGCGGTGAACCTGCTGTTTGTTTATGACGTATATTACGTCATTGTCGTACTTATAGCATGTAGGTAGACATGGAGGTTACCTAACCTATGAACAATGCGAGGTGACCTTCTATGGATCTACCTACGTGCTATATATATTTACTTGGAAATATTCATTGAATCACTTTCTAATGATTGACAAAATTAAATTGCATGAAGTGTTATAATATACCTACTTTGTTTTTATTAAATAATTGTTAAACATATTGTATATACCTATACCTTTAACATCCCTATAAACAAACTATGTACCTATAAAAAGTAGGTAAGCAGAAAGTAATTTAAAGCTTACATAGTCGACTTATTTCTAATTAGTTTTAAATATATAAACATCGGTAGTTTATGTAAATTATAAAGATTTTTATGTAAATTATTCATCTTTGTCTATTTACTTTATACTTGTGCAATAAATAAATGAATAGTTTATTCTAACCAGATTATCAGTATTTAGGAAAAGTCTGGTTTATATAAATTAAAAACATAATTTTCAACTACACATATATTTCTAAATGTTAATTATACTAAAATATAGTATATCTACTAAATAGTAAAATTTAAAATAGAGGATTTTGTGGTGGGTACTTTTACAATATAAAAAAAATATAACATGCGTATCGCCTTGTCACTTCAGTAACGAAATAATAAGCTTTGTACTATCGAAAATGTAGACACAAACTGTAAGTTGAAGGGTAAAGCAATATAGAGTTTAATCGTCAACAATAAACCTAGAAACTCTGCTTATTGCCTGTTTGATTATAAACGTAAAAGAACAAAATAGATATTTGCTGTAATAAAAAGTGAATCATTCCATTTTATTACTACAGACTCGGTTAAATAAGCAAAGCCGTCAAGTTGGAAAGCTTTCCGCGCACCATTTGCTTATATCCAATGGCTTTCATTTAAGCAGGAAATACTATTTTTGGTCTTCGTAAAGCTGTATACACAGTTTCGGAAACCGGAGCTATGTTTGTAACATTCACGTTCTCCCCTCTTCGGTTCGTGCCCTTAATTCAGAATGAGGTCATTTAGAAACAACTAAACTAAAACTCTCTAAAACTTATTTTACTCGTAATTATAAGCTCTTATAAAGCTTTTCCAATAAAGCTCTATAAAAATATCTTTAGAAAATCACCTTATTAAGAAAATACTACTTGAATACTTTCTATCACTTTACTTTAAGTTAACCTTAGGATATTTATTTACCGCAAAAAAATCTGTGCAGTCAATGCATAAGCGAAGAGATGATGTAATAGCAAAATAATTATAATTATACTAGCGGCTCCTAGAAAAACAAAATCAAATCTATCCCATGGGAACCTTATATTTTTCCGGGATATAAAGTAGCCTATGTGTTATTCTGACGTATGAGATATATTATTGTAAAGTTTCATTAAAATCCATTCAGTAGTTTTTGTGTGAAAGAGTAAGAAACATTCGTACATCTATACATCCATACATCCTCATAAACTTTCGCATTTAAGTATAATATTAGTAGGATGTAAATAACAAACTTAACCACCGATAGCTATAACCGTATCAAACGTTTGATGTTATCTATCCAACATAAAAAGATAAGTTTTATAATATTTTAGTTTAGATTATTAGGTACTCGGTAAAGAGCTACATGTAATTTAAACCAATAATTCCTACAACACATACGCAAGGCACATCTCTAGTAGATAGGGAAAACGAATGAAAAAGAACAGGCTTATAATTTATGTCGGAAAATCTGCAAACAAGTTGATTTGTTATATAAATCAACTTGCGACCTTGACTGATGCTTTTTATAGCTCCACAATAAAAGTTAACTATGCAACACCTACAAGTAGAATACACAACTGTAAAATATATAACTACTACATAGATCTAGTCTTCTATAGACCGTATATTATATGGCGCAGAATAAGCGAAACATCTACGCACTTTTTACAGTGGTTGTCGTGTGAGGAATTTTAAATCGAATTCCTTATGACAAATAACTGCGGGATTGCATTTCCTTCCAAGTATATGTTGGCCAATACTTACTAAGAATCTTAAACCCTTAAAGCTTAAAGCCAAAGTAAAATCATAACTAAGTAACGTGTAATATACGTAATATGTATAATGTAGGTATACATCTCAAGATTAATGAACTCTTCAGTGTTAAGTACACGTATTAGAATTAAATCGTTAAGGTGTCTTTACCTAGGTTATTTAAAAAAAATATAATTAAGTAAATTATTGATCGGAAACTATTTTGTCTGTCTGTATAAGTGGTGCATTAGTAAAATCGCTGGCGAGGTTTTTACTTAACACTTGAGTTAACGTTTACGTTATTTTTGGTACTACAAAATTTCACGCGGACTTGAAAGTTATAAGTAAGAGTAACAGTTTTATGAAAAGCATGTTAACAATTAATGTTACTAACAAAAGTCGAGAAAATTGGCATGATTATAATTTGTAATCTAATACTTATGTAAAATTCGACCATATTTTTTATCCCCGAATAAGTAAGTGAAGAAGTGGAAGAGCTTAGTTATTTTATTAAAATATCTTAGCTTAGCCAATGATTGCGCCCGAAATTATTATACCTACGTACTACATATAAATTAGTTATTGAAATCTTAGTATAAATTACCTTCAATCAAATATTGTTGTTTTATTATAAATTCTAATACTAGCGACTCACCCTCGCTTCGCTCGGGTTCGTCCCTAGGTACATTTTATTTTTTTGAGCGGAACTCTAATTCTTTTACTGACATAAAAGCAGCCTAAGTTACTTCTTATAACATCAAGTACCTGCCATTAAAAGTCCCGTCAAAATCGGCCCAGCCGTTTCGGAGATTAGCCGGAACAAACAGACAGACAAAAAAATAAAAAATTGTGTTTTTCTTATAAATACCGCATATAATTCCATATGAATTAGTAAAAAGCTGTTATATTAACATTACAAACAGACACTTCAATTTTATTTATCTGTAGGTATAGATAATGATGATTTATTATGCAGCCTCAAATTACTAAGTACAAGAAAAAACATATTAAGTTTAAAATTAATTTTTAAAACTTCTTGGATAGATGTATTAGTTGTACTGTAAATATTCCATTAAGTAGGTATATAATCTTTTTATCAGATCGTACTATTACAAAGTCATAGAAAAATATTCCCATATATATTACTAAACAAGTACCTATAATGAATAAAAAGCTTTGTCATAACTGACTGACTAATCGTTCAACGCACAGCCTAAACCACTTTTCTTAGAAATGGAGGACGTATTCCTTATATGATGTAGACATCCGTTAGGAAAGGATTTTTCGAAATTTATTCCTCAAGGTCAAGGGGGTAAAATAGGGGGTGAAAGGTTGAATGAAACTGTCATTCTTTACACAAAATGCACGGAAAGTGGTATTTAGCTTTGAGATGAAAAATAAGATATGTCTATTACATTTTTATCGAAATTCATCCCATAAAAGGGATAAAAGGGGGATAAGGTTTATATGGGCTAAAAAATATTTATGATCAGAATTACTTAAACCTTGGTATTAATGCTTTTTAATACATTAAAATAAATATATGTATTATAATTTTTCGAAATTCATCCCACAAGAGGATAAAATAGGGGATGAAAGTTTGTACGAAACTGTAATTTTTGACACGTGAAAGCACGGAAAGTAGTATTTACAATAAAAATAAAACCATACTTACATCAGATTTTTTTCGAAACATATTTACCTAGATTACGCTACACCCCACGATTTTATTTTTGAGTCTGATCAATGCCCTAGGGGCCTAAATTGATAAGTAGAGTAGTTTGATGACTGGTACCTAGGACCTACCTATTTATTTTTTAGATTTTAGTACATTATCTCCATCATTATTTTTTTTAATTAAACTGTTTAACTTAAAAATATTTTTTTCTAGTTTTTATTTTTTTTATTTCAAACTGTCTAAACTCTATGATCCGCGATGCCCTGTGCTCTACTTGTAAAGCCCCATTTGATTCCAATATTGAGGGGGTTGTGAAAAAAATGTAATCTGCCATTTTGGCTGTTGGATTTACAATGATACTGAATATATTCAATTGTATTTTCATCAGATCCAAAGGTGTGCACCAAATATCAGCTCAATCTATCAATAGGAAAGGGGTAAAATTTCAATTACTGACCCAAACATACAGAGAATGCTAAATAAAACCGTTTAATAAAATGGAGGAGAAGGAGGAAGACTGAAAGTATCAGGTACATAAAATTGGTTCTTTAAAAATAACGTAGATATTATCCTGTTAGTATGTTAGTTAATAAGACCAATATTGCCAA